TATATATATATATTTATTTATTGTAAACTCTGATGAACACCGTCCTGCTGCCGGGGCTGAGTCTGTCTGTGGATGCACAGATCGCTAATCAGGCCAATTCTGGCAAAGAAGAGTTCTGGCGCAGGAAGTGCAAGGGATGGGACAACTCCAGGTGCAGAGTTCTTTCGGGCTCGTCCCTTGCGTTCTGCAGCAGCTGATCTGTCAGCTTCGTGTTCCACTGAGCCCTTGAGTACGGAAGAGCCCTTATGTATTGTAAACTCTAGCTAATACAGTGCATTATTTTAAACATTAAATTAAAAGCTTATAACAGGATGATACGCCATATTGTGTGTACATAATTCAAACACTTACATTGGATCGAAGTGAGAATGTTATGCCACCCCATAAAGAACCCAAAACAGATTTAAATAAATATTGTTGGGGTTTTGTGATCTGATTTGTGATGTTATTTGATGACGACATTTTCGTCACTTTATTTTTTTATCATGCGTTTCTTTTTTTCCTTCTCTTTTTAAATTTTATTTGTACCGATTGAAACTTATTAGACGAAAAATTAATCAGCTATCAAATGTGCTTCTAAGTTGATTGCCCTCATACAAGGGCCGGTATACGGGATTATGGAAGAGTATGATCTCATTTGAAATATTTTACTTAATCGCATGTTTTGCATGTTTAAGACGCCGTCCACACAACATTTTAAATAACTTTAAACAAACCATAATTTTAAATTTGTCCGTATAATTACTTTAAATTATTGAAAACTTTTGAAATAAAAACACTTTTTTTGTTACAAGTATTTTAGTTTGTTTTTTTAAAATCTAGTTTGTGTTTAATTATAAATTACATTAAAAATCAAATAGAATCATCATATTCAATTACAAGAAAAATAACTCCGTCTAATACTTGTGTTAAATGTTTCATCAGTTCATTCCCTTGACCATTACAGACTAACAAAATCCACCGCCATTTAGTTCATACACAATGGTGAAATAGAAATAGATCAGAAGTTTCTTAACGCTCAGGGCGCGTTGATTGAAAAAAGCCACAACAACACACACACAGACAATAATTATTGATATGCATCTCCTCACACTATTTGTTACATTGATA